TACAAACTCAAGGACTTCAGACAAGGTGAGTCACAGTCATATTTCTGGGTGGATTGATTTAGACAAACTTTAAGCCAGGGAATTCTTGTGGAGATGCTGTTTTTCTATTATAAGAAAACTCTGCCACACAGAGAATAGGGAATTCCATAAAAAACGAGAAAGCCAAGACTGCACTTAAAATTTTAAAAGAGTTAATATGAACATGTTAGAGTTATGAAACATGCAGGTCTTCAGTGGTGTGACCTTAAGACCCTCAGTGTAAGAGACGGAGTGAAGCAGAGACATGGACAGATGCTGAGGAGCTGTACAGGCTGAACACACAGTTCGCTTAGGTCCTTCTTCACAGATGTCCTGTAAAGTGGTTGGGGTGAAGTCAACTGAAGCTCCAACAAACAATTTGCTTATTGGTCTTGTGCTCATTGTCTATGAGGCTTTTGAAAGGTGTATAATACTTGTAACTTTTGCAAAATAAATTCAGGACTTTCCATTTTCTACCCTTACATATATCAGGTCCTATAAACTGAGATTTTTCTTCTTTTAACTCTACAAATTTCAGCAATGTATCTTGTAGGATTAGAAAAAATTTTTTTTAGAAACCTGAGTCCCTTTAAATTATTAGGCCCAGAGATGCATTTAAATGTGACAGCAGGATGGGCACAGTGGCTCACACCTGTAATGGGAGGCCTAGGTGGGTGGATTGCATGAGCTAAGGGGTTCCAGACCAGCTTGAGCAACAGTGAGGCCCTCATCTCTACTAAAAATAGAAAACCTAGCTGAGTATGGTGGTGGGCTCCTGTAGTCCCAGCTACTCGGGAGGCTGAGGGAAGAGGATCACCTGAGCCCAAAAGTTTGAGGCTGCTATGTGCTAGGAGGACATGGCACTCTACCCAAGATAGAGACTCTGTTAGAGCCTCTGTCTCAAAAAAAATGAGATAGCACTCACAGCTTACTCCCCCCTGAGCTAAGGAATTACCTATAGCAGCTCATTGCTATGTAGGTTCTACCATGACTGAGGCCAAGTAGCCATAAAATTAACTTAACATACTATTTTTGGAGCATTATAACTCATAATTAGTAGTCCAATAATGTATAGCCAATCACTAACCAATGTTACTTATATTGACAATACCTAAAACTCAATTTTTGTAATTATCCCCTCTCCTGATTTGTCAAAAACAAAACAAAACAAAAAAACCTTACCTTTATTCTCTAGAGCACTTTCCAAGGTAACTTGAAAGTGTTTCTGAACTATAGTTCTCACTCTTGGCCCAAATAAACTCTCTCTGTTAACTTTGTGTCAGTTTCCTTCTTTAGGTTAAAAAGACTGATCAAGGGAGACAGTAATCTCAGACCCATCTTGTAGCCACAGGAAAACATTCTCCAAGTGATAATGTAAGCAAGAGGGTGGTCCTTTGTGCAATGCTGGTGCAATAAAAATGGTCCCATGCCCAATTAAGAAAGAGCGAGTGTTGATAAAAATAGACCTTAAGCTTCAACTTCAGTGTCCCATGGCCTAACAGCTTCAAGTCTCACATTTACTGAACTAACCATTCTATTCCATAATATGCCAGCTTTCAATTTAACAAACAAAATAGTTGTTTGTTAAACAATCAAACAATCTTTATGACACTCAGAACTCTGATCTGCACAGGAGAGAATCGAAATGCAAACGTGTTTCCCTCCAAAACAACTGGCCCATGGAATACAAAAACTTAGAGCCAACCTGCTTGTTCAGTGCTTGCTCTTGGAAACACATCTCTAGGAACCCTGCTGGTGCCTTTCTCTCCTAAACTGAAACCCGGATTAACAAAGGAATGAAGAAAGTATCCCAAGGGCTCTTCTAATTTCTAGGTCATGTATACTAAAGACTAATTTTTTAACTGATCTGGCCACATTTTATCAGTAAGAATGATCATACTAATTTCACTCTAGGACAAATATTTGATTCACATCATCGAGTAGATGTGTTGAAAGGCTACTCTGCAATAGTGGGTACGTGAGGCCAGAGACATAGAACGTTTCATCACCCTCTCCCCAAGTGAGTGACCAAATGTCAAGGATCATCTTCAAATGCTTTGATTCCCTCCTAACTCATGTCTTCCATTTACTCCTTCTCCTTGAAACTCTCTATTCACCTCTGTGAATTCCAGACACATAACTAAGATCCTGACACACTGCCCGGCTACTCCTCTTATCCAGAACCAACTCCGAGTCCTACACAAATGTCTTGCATCCTGTGCTTAAAAAATGCTCTTCTCTTTGCTAATGTCCTGATAAACTAAATAGGCTTTAACTCTAGGGATTTCCACTTAACTGTTCACTCTGAGTAGAATTTTTTTTAACTGTATCTGCTTAAATATTACCTCCATATCCTGGCTTTTTTGAGGGCTCTTATCCAACTGTCTCACTATCCATTTATTTTTCTTGTCACTACACAGTGTCAGATTGTATGTATCAGACTGAAGTTTTTTGGTCTATTGTCGGCATCACCCACTATATTTTAACTGCAGATTGCAGAATCTATGTTACAATCCCCACAGTACCTAGCAGCACTGCTATTACATAGAAACTTAATGAACTTTTTAAGGGAATGAATATATCATAATGATGGTAATCCTAGGTTTTATCTTTATCTGTTAGGTCATTGGTTTTTATTTCTAAAATGTTATAAGCAGCAGAGGATGCCTATGATCCTATCTCACATCCATACCAAACATACTGTGCGCCTGTCATGTTGCTGACTGTACTCTTAATTGTTAGTGTTTATCACTTAGATAACTATAAAATGCATTCTCATTTTCCTGTGACAAGATCCCTTTCACAATTTTATTCATGCTTACCAAGGTTATATGAAATAAGTTAATTTTAAGTTACAAAATGTGAATAATTACAAAAAATTACTGTTCTTACTACTGAAAAATAAGCAACCCAAGATGACTACCCCTGATAAATATACAGGAAAGAATGATGCATCAGTGTTTCCCTCAGACAGAAGACTACCCATGAAACAGAATATATCATGATAAGGCTAAGTAAGGAAAAACGCCAAACATATATTGGAAATACAAGAAATACCATACTCACCACTGATGCATGCTTGGGAAACTGAGTGCAAGAAAAAGTAAATTTCTAGAATTGAGGCGACTTAAGAGAAAAAGAGAAGCTATAAAGATTTGAGTTACAAATAATAATTCCTCCAAAGCCCGGGCACAAAAGCTAGAAATTTTTTTCCAAAAAATGGGATTTATTCTTTTTTTTCTTTTGATTTATGTATTTTATTAATATTAAATTGTAGTTTTATTGTTTTATTAATTAAATAGGAAGACCTATATAAGCTATAAGTCAAGATTATCTTTCTGCTCACACCTGCTTTTCTAGTTGAACAAGTCTGCAGGTCCTTGACTCTGCTGCAAGATTACAGGACCTGAAAATTAGAAGAGCCTCTTGTGATACTTTCTTCATACAAACTAAAATGCAGGGGGAAAAAACATCCTCTCTAATCTCATATGCTTCCACCTCCTCTAAAATATGGAATAAGGCTTAATCATTTATGAATGAGGAATAATTACACAATTTGAATTAAATGAGGCATTGTAGACATAGTAAGGCATTTCCCCAACAATTTTTAAACTTGGGATTTTGAAACAGTAGAACCTCTGTAAGTTGACCACCCAATGGATTGTAACAAACTGATCAACATAGAGAACGAGGCCTGTTGTACTGATAGCGACATGTGGTGCATATTTGGTCCATGAACATTAGATCAACTTGAGGTGGACAATGTAAGAAGGTGGCCAACTATGTGAAGGTTCTACTGTAACTAGTAATTTGAAGTTTCCAAACAGGCTCATAATCTGATCTAATCACTAACTGTATTTGACAAAGTTATTTTTCACATCTATGAAAACTACTTCTAGTATTTGAAAAATGAAAGTACAAATGATTGAATTTACATAACTTGTGTTTTAGAATATATAAAAATAAAATAATGTGAAGAACAGTTTACATAATTTATAGCATCTCAAAGATGCTGACCTACAGCAAGAGTATATATGAGTATACATGCTTATAGACAGAGGAGATACACACAGAGGTTGTGATCGCCATTCTCCTGTTGCAATTCCATTATTGTACTAGTTATTGCTCACAGCTCCAGAAAATAGAATGAAAAAATGTAAATGCATATCATGTAATCTGTGACCTTTATTATCTGTAATTTACTTATATGAGGGAAATTATATGTGACAATTTATACATTAGTGATATCTATAGCACTTCAGAAAATAGAAACATGATTATGGAAGAGAAAAATTCAAATATTTTGTGTTTAGGGTGGATCTTATAGGACAAACAATGTTCTACAGCTCAAGGGCAGTGATTTTGAATGGTGAGTCTTAGGAAAAGCATAACAGTGCCTTTAAAGAACGTGAGAGGCAGAGTATCAAGCAGAAAATTTTTTTATGTTTGTTTTTTAACAAGCAGAAAATTAAGGTTAAGGTTGACCTGGCTAGATGCAGCTGGGGAGGGATGACCAGAAATTAAAGATGAGGAAGAGGGCTGATGACTGAGATCTGATGATTTAAGCATACAGAAGGTGTCTGAGTCACACATGCCAGTTTCCCATGTAAATGTGCCCTGTCCAACTGAGACATTAAGGCGTGCAGGGAGTCCTGCCTTCCTCAGTTCCTGTGACTTGTTGGTAACTCATGAGTGGCGTGTCTAGACTGGAGACATTGGAAAGGAATGCCTTAGGTATCTCATTTATCTTTGTTGCCTATGGAGCTAGACTTATATCTAAGACTTGCTGAGATGCTTACTAAGCACAACTGGAAAGGGAGCATTTAATTCAGATGTTTTAGTTGACTCAACAGAAGCTGCAGTTTTGGAGGAAAAAAATAATTTATGCTACACACAATAAAGTGAATTCCATTTTATCCTTCTGCTCTGTTTCATTTCATGATTTGTGCTTTGTTTTTGTGTTTTTCTTTCAAGGAAGTCCAAGCAGTGAGTTTTCATGGAGAAATGGAATCACACTTCAAGTGATTTCATTTTGTTGGGATTATTTCCCCCAAATCAAACTGGCCTTCTTCTCTTATTTCTTATCATCCTTGTATTCTTCCTCGCCTCAGTGGGCAACTCAACCATGATTCACCTCATTCGCATAGACCCCCGTCTACACACACCGATGTACTTTCTGCTCAGCCAGCTCTCCCTCATGGACCTGATGTACATCTCCACCACTGTCCCCAAGATGGCATTTGACTTCCTCTCTGGCCAGAAAGGTATCTCTTTCCTGGGATGTGGCATTCAAAGTTTCTTCTTCCTGACCATGGCATGTTCTGAAGGCTTACTCCTGGCCTCCATGGCCTACGACCGTTATGTGGCCATCTGCCATCCTCTCCATTATTCCATCCGCATGAGTAAAAGTATGTGTGTGAAGATGATCATAGGATCTTGGACACTGGGGTCCGTGAACTCCTTGGCACACACAGTCTATGCTCTTCATATTCCCTACTGTAGGTCTAGGGCTATTGATCACTTCTTCTGTGATGTACCAGCCATGTTGCCTCTTGCCTGTATGGACACTTGGGTCTATGAGTACATGGTTTTTGTGAGCACAACCCTCTTTCTCCTTCTTCCTTTCCTTGGTATCACTGCTTCCTATGGTCGGGTCCTATTTGCCGTCTACCATATGCGCTCAAAGGAGGGAAGAAACAAAGCCTTTGCCACCTGTTCAACACATTTAACTGTAGTGACCTTTTACTATGCACCTTTTGTCTACACCTATCTTCGGCCCAGAAATCTCCGCTCCCCAGCAGAAGATAAAATCCTGGCAGTCTTCTACACCATCCTTACTCCCATGCTCAATCCCATTATCTACAGCCTGAGAAATAAGGAAGTCCTGGGAGCCATGACAAGAGTGTGTGGGACATTCTCTTCCCTGAAAGAATAATTATATTTGTCCTTACTTCTTTTTTACATGTTTATTTAGGACATCTTAGAAGAAAGTTGTCCAATAGAAATATAATTTAAAATTCTCCAGTAGACATATTTAACCAGTAAAATTAACTGGACTTCAACCACAAGACTCTTGGAAGACATCAAAAAATACAGTAATGTCTCAGTATATAAAATCAATGTTCACATGTGTTATTGGCACATATTGTATATGCCAATAATAGCCAAGATGGAAGGCTGATTAAGGACACAATTCCCTTTATCACAGCATCAAAGAAAATGAAATACCTAGGAATGTACCTCACAAAAGAGGTGAAGGACCTCTATAAAGAAAATTATGAAACCTTAAGAAAAGAAATAGCACAGGATATTAACAAATGGAAGAACATACCATGCTCATGGCTGGGAAGAATCAACATTGTTAAAAAGCCTATACTTCCCAAAGCAATCTACAAAGTCAATACTATCCCTATTAAAATACCAATAATGTACTTTCAAGACTTGGAAAGACTTATTTCATTTTGTATGGAACCAGAAAAAACACATATAGCTAAGGCAGTTCTTAGTATTAAAAACAAAGCTGGGGGCATCAGGATACCAGACTTTAGACTGTACTATAAGGCTGTAGTGGTCAAAACAGCATGGTACTGGCACAAAAATAGAGACATAGACATTTGGAATTGAATAGAAAACCAGGAAATGAAACTAAAATCTTACAACCACCTAATCTTCAATAAACCAAACAAGAACAAACACTGGTGGAAAGAATCCCTATTCAATAAATGGTGCTGGGAGAACTAGATATCCACATGTAAATGACTGAAACTGGACTCGCACTTTTTTTCACTCACAAAAATTGATTCAGTAATAGGAAAGAAAAAGGTTAATATCATAAAATTTCCACTTCTGTAGTTGCCCTACTTTTATCCTCAGCTTCTATAAAAATATTACATTCAATTATAAGCATAGGGGGAATTGTGGGAAGATGGCTGACTGGAAGCAACTTTCGCCAGAGGCTTATGTCCAAAGGGAGAGACGTTGGACTGAATAGAAGCCGAATGAGAAGAGCTCCATACCGAGAAGACTGCATGAAGTACACATCACCCTAGCTGTATCAAGCAACAGAAACAAGAAAGTGGAAGAAAAACAACAGGTATGAGCCCAGCTTTGCCAAAGGAAGGGAGATCCCTCCCCGCTATCAGGAGCTCCACAGTGTGTGGCCAGTCAGCCAGAGAACTGGGTTCAAAAGTCTCCTTACCTTATCCCATGAGACAGCAGTTGTTAAGTCCCAGTCCTCCTTCATTACTGTGGTCCTACTACTGAGACTAGGCCCCCATTCTGTCTGCAACAAAAGACCAAATATTTTTCCCGCAATCCTGAGCACCCAGATTGCTCTTCTCCTACCCTAGTTGCTGGAAGGACTGCCCTCTGTAGAGTATGGAGTGTTTGACACAACTGGGAAGCTCAGAAAGTCTGAAGGCCACCACCCTGTAGCATGAGAGAACAGTAGCACAGCAGTCCAAGTTTTTGAGGAGAGAAGGTGAACTACCCATCTCCACCTCCTCAGGAATTCTCAGGCAGATCTGTTTTCTGCCTTTCAGGACAACTTCTGAGCTCCATTGGGTGGGTGGGTCCAGTGGCTAAAGAACTTTGACTTGTGACTAAATTTTGGACCTGCCCCCTATGCCAGGCACAGGTCTCTGAGCTTGATTGGGCAGGTGGGTGACCCTGGACTGAACTTTGGACCTCTGGCCTCCCCAGGCAAGGCTCTCTGAGCTTGATTAAGGTGGGCAGGGCTGGAGTTTATGTGACTTTGGACTGAACTTTGGATCTCTGGTCTCCACCAGATAGGGCTCTCTGAACTCAATTAGGTGGGTGGGGCTGGGTTTAAGTGACTGGAGTGAACTGAACTTTGTTTTTTTTTGTTTTTTGAGACAGAGTCTATGTCGTCCTTGGTAGAATGCTGTGGTATCACAGCTCACAGCAACCTCAAACTCTTGGGCTTAAGTGATTCTCTTGCCTCAGCCTCCCAAGTAGCTGGGACTACAGGTGCCCACCAAACACCCAGCTATTTTTTATTTTTGTTGCAATTGTCATTGTTTTAGCCGGCCTGGGATAGGTTCAAACCCACAAGCCTGGGTGTATGTGGCCACCGCCATAACCACTGTGCTACAGGTGCCCAGGCCTGAACTGAACTTTGGATTAGCACTGTCCACCGTGTTAAGGCTCTCTGAACTCAATTGGGTGGGCAGGGCTGGGGTTTAAGTGACTTTGCACTGAACTTTGGAATAACACTCTCCACTGGTAGAGGCTCTCTGAGCTCAACTGGATGGGTTGTACCTGGTGCCTGAGTGACTCTTATCTGAATTTTAGAACTGTGTCCATTGCTGGTGGCAGCACCCTGAGCTTGACTGGGCAGGCAGCCCCAATTCCTGAGCAACTCTGTCTGAGCTCTGGGCCTACCCTGTCCACAGAGCTGCAGCCCTCAGCGCACAGTTGGCTGGATGGTGCCCAGTGCACAAGCATCTCTCCTGAACTCTGGGCTAGCGCTGTTAGGTTGGCAGCCTTGTGAGTTTGATATGGTGGGTGGAACCAGCAATAGCAGTGCAACATTGATTGGAACTCTAGGCTAGAACTGCCTACTGATTCTTGTCCCCCTGGAGACACTGTCTGAGGCTGCAGATTCACCACTTGCCTGTCATTGTTAGTGCAGCAGTGGCATTGCAACAATGAAGAGTGGACTCCTCAGCGACAACCTATCAACTCAACTAAAAAAGTACAATTAATTTATTAAAAAAAGAAGAAGAATCTGAAGATATTCACGAGGAGAATCAGCTCAAGAAATCTGGCAACATGAAAATCAGAGCAGATAAACACCTGCAAGGGATGTCAAAGAAAATACAACAGAGAATTCCATCTACAGAGAAATTGTTGAAATGTCAGAAACAGAATTTAGAACATGGATATCAAATAAGATAATTGGAATGGAGGAAAATGCAGAAGCAGAGAACCAAAAAACAGTTCAGAAGCTGCCTTAAGAAATTAATGAGGGGTGGCACCTGTAGCTCAAGGAGTAGGGCTCCAGCCCCATATGCTGGAGGTGGGTTCAAACCTAGCCCTGGCAAAAAACCGCAAAAAAAAAAAAAGAAATTAATGAATTGAAAAACAAAGTCTATCCCAGAAGTGCATTAATGTACATAGTTACCATTCAATAAAAAAAAAAAACCAAAGTCACCAAGGATATGGATATAATAAGGAAAGATACAGCAGAGCTTAAGGAATTGAAAAAGGTATTTGAGGAGCTTCAAAATACAGTAGGGTCCCTCAGAAATAGAGTTGAGTAGTACGAAGAAAGAATCTCAGATAAAGAAGACAAGACTTTTCAACTATCCCAAGCATTCAAAGAGCCAGAATAATGGAGAATAAGAATAGAATATTCCCTGAGAGAGTTATGGGATCATTCCAAGAAATCAAACTCTACTGAGGGCAACAGCTTGAGACTTTGTCTCAAAACAAAAACAAAACCAAAAACTATGAATTTCATTCTGTTACCAAAGATGTTTTCCTAATATATATGGTATTTTCATTATCATAAAAGAAAAAAATTACTTGTTATGACTTGGGTTTTGACCCATGTATTATTTTCATTACATTGTATAGTTTCCAAAACATGGGATTATTTTAGCTTCCCTTTTGCTATTCATTTCTAGCTGTATTGCATTGTGGTTCACAAACATAATCTGTATATTGATAAACCTTTAGAATTTACTGTTTCCTTTGTGCCCTAATATATGATCTACTTTCAAAAGTGTTTTGTTTCCCTACAATGACTGTTTTGCAGCATAAAATTCTATCTATCTAAGAGATTAAAATTATTATACTGTTCAGATTAAAAAAAAAAAAGAAAGAAATCAAACTCCAAATTATAAGGATTCCTGAAGGAAAAAAGGATGGTCCCAACAGTGCAAATTCTCTGTTCCAAGACATTATGGCAGAGAATTAACAAAATATTGCAAGAGACACAGAAATTCAGATAGGAGATAGTTATAGAACCTCAGTACAATTCCACCCAAAGCATCTCCTAGACACATTGTAATTAATTTTGCCAATGTCAATATGAATAAGAAACTTCTGCAAGCAGCCAGGCATAAGAAAAGTATTACTTACACAGGGAAAAGTATCACGATTACTGCAGATCTTTCAGGCAAAAAATCTCCAGGCCAGAAAAGGATAGTAGTCATCAACTTTCAACCTTCTTAAACAAAATAATTTCCAGACCAGCATCCTATCTCATGCTAAACTGACTTTCATTTGTAATTGGAGAAATCAAATATTACACTGACATCCACATGCTAAGGAAATTTTCCATGACTTGACCAGCTCTACAGTAAATACCCAGACCCATTCTTCATAACAATCAACAGGAGGGTACACCACCCAAGTAAACCTACCCAGAAACTAAAGAACAAAGCCTACCTTCCACAATGGTGAGAGGCATAAAATTAAGCTCTGGACTTCTGAAAAACAAGATGACTAAAACTCTGCCACATCTATCAATTCTCTCAATTAATATGACTGGTTTGAACTCTCCTTTAAAGAGGCATAGACTGGCTAACTGGATACAAAAACTCAGGCGAGATATGTTGCCTACAAGAAACTTACCTTACCTGAAAAGATAAATTAAGACTCAGGGTGAAGGGATGGATGATATTCCAGGCAAATGAACAGCAAAAGAAAGCTGGGGTTGCAATTTTGGTTGCAGCTAACAACTGAATTCAAACCAACAACAATAATGAGACAAAGATGGACACTACATACTGGTCAAGGGAAACACACAACGTGAAGAGATTTCAATAGTTAACATCTATGCACTCTATCTGAATGCTCCTTGATATATAAAACAAACTGTAACTGATCTGAACGATATGATATCTTCCCACATTACAATGTGGGATGGAGATTTTAACACCCCATTGGCAATACTGGACAGCTCCTCCAA